AGGTCTCTCTCTCTCTCTCTCTCTCTCTCTCTCTCTCTCTCTCTCTCTCTCTCTCTCTCATTGTATGTGATGCTCTCTCGCTCTCATTCCCTTTGTCTCCTCATTGAGCCACGGGTAAACAGTTAGTGCGGAGACATTGATTTAAATCCCGTCTAAAAGGCGACGAGGGAGTGTTCGGCCCTTGACAAACCGGTCCATATTAAAAAAACTAAAACGAGAACAATTGTCGCCAGGTGGGGTAAATGAATGGATAATGAATGAATGAATGAATCAAGGGTGCAGCACGACGTTTTGTGGGGGTAATGTACTGTGTTCCTATTGGCTCTACGGTTAGTTGAGATGCTAATTGTATGGTAAACAGGCTATAACTACCTAGCCGCTGGGTGAGGCCTGGCCTGGTAAAATGCTACGATTTGGTGGACACTTCCATCTGCCGTAGGATGACAGTATTGCACCCTGTTTGTCATGGTGGTAATATCCCCCCCGCCCCAATTCACCCCCGGGCCACACAGATAATCAATGGCACCCCTGGTTAGGGTGTGGTAAAAGCATTAAAATCACTTCCATTTTTGACAGAATCATACTCTCATATTAAAAAATGGAGAAACTGTTATCCAGAAACAGAATCAAGCTCCGCCCACGGCCATGTCCGTGACCATACCTCAACCCATTGAAAAACCTGTGGAGTGAGCTGAAAAGCAGAATGCAGAGGACAATCAGTATTAACAATCAGTTATTTAAATTAAACAGTAAATTAAATTAACAATCAATATTTTTGACGTCCCCTTTACAGTTGCTTCGTTATTTATATTACTAATGTCATATGTGGTGTACGTGAGTGCTCCTGCCGCTAGGTGTCAGGCCATACCAACATATCTGAGCAGGTGCACTTGTGGCGCATGATGTATGAAGTCAGGTGCAAAGAAACTCATTCCATATAGCCTAGTCAGATTACGGCAATTGAGTAATTTTATATTTATATAAAATGTATATTTTTAATACGTGCTAACGTAATTTAACAACGCTACTATTTTACTTTAGTCGACTTTGTTCAAAGTATTTTTAAAGACAAATTAATCTCGAAAATATTCATATTTTCAATTCTGTTTATTTTACCATTGAGTCGCAATTTTTATTTATTTTCTTAGCATTTTGTCAAATTATTTATTTAAGGGTCAGAAAATGATCTTTGTACGGACTTTAAACAATATGAATATCACGTAATATCCCCCTCTGTATTTTTTTAAGTACACGGTTACTTCACCCCACATTCCATCCCATGCTGTTAGAAAAGTAATTGAGTCGCAAGTCCTCTTGAATAAGTTTTACTCAGGTCATTTTCTAAACCTCCAAATTGAACTGTGGTGAAGTACAGTTTCATCAAACGAACAGTACTTTGGCTCAAAGACAATATTTTAGTATTAGGCTTTTCACTTCTGCATAAAGTTGAAAAATACTTGAATGTGCTCAAACCAACAACTAAAATGTTTACAGTCAGTTCAATCACTCCTACAGTAAAAATAGATCCATTCACTAAGACTGTCCTGTGAATACTTTTAGCCAAGCTACTTGTCTGGTGCTGTGTCAGCAGCGAGGCCCCAGGAGTAACAATGGACTCAGCATGACACCACGTATCACAATAAGTGATGATTATGGGACCTGAAAGCCACTAAGAACATTCTTGAAGGAATCCGAAGTTTATTTTCCACCATCCAGAAAGTAACAAGGCTCTCTGGCTCTTCATTTTTGCCCGAATAAATGTCATGGAAAAATATTTTGTCTAAGATGATGTTTAGCGATTGCAAAAAGAAAAAAAAGAAAGAGATGTGGTCGTTTCAGAGGCACAAAATAAGGGGAAGGAGGGAAGGTGTGTGTGTGTGAGTGTGTGTGTGTGGGGGGGGGGGTGTCAGACAGTGAATCTTGGCATGAATCAGGGCATTTTTGAAATTCTGCACATCTGATCCCAAAAAGGATTGGCTCCCAAACATAGCAGATCTTATCTTTCCTGAGTGCAAACAAATGGAATCGTCTAAATTACTTCGCTATTTTTCTTACAAGTCACAGTGAGATATTTAGCTGATAGGCTTCTATTTTAGATCTGATAATATTTACAAGGCCCACATCAACTTGCACACTCAAACAATGAAATCCAATGCTACCTCCCTCCTGGGGAAACTGGTTAACTTTCAAGTTCCTCTACTTTCAAATAAGAAATGTCTTTAAAATATGTAGTGCCCCCTCCCTCCCCCGACATATTTGTAGGACCCTTACTCTGGTATTTTCTTGGGAAAAAAAAACTTCCTGCCGTCATTTTTTGGCATCTTGTTACCAAAGGACTATGTTGAAATGAGTTGAGGACCTTCATGTAGTGATCTGCTGCCTTTCTTGTGGCATTTATAGGCAATTATAAACCTATTGTGAAGAATTAATCACTTGCAGATTTTCTCTAAAATAAGTCTTCAGAGCGATACTTCACCTAGTGTTGTTTGGTCGATTTTGCTGGACTCAGTAGTGTTGAACAGGGAATAGGTAGTGTACAGAATTTAGATCTGGGTTTTTTTTTCATTAAATGCAAGGAGAAGAAGCAGAGAATATCGACAACAATACTTGTCGTTCCGTGTGTGTTAACATGGCATTTGTTTGAAGGTTTAGAATTACCGAACACTTATGCTAATTCCATCGATGGCCGTTCTTCGTGGATGTTAGCAAGAAGCTAGCACGCTTCGACGAGAATGTTATACGTATTGGTTTGGTTGAGGGACTAATGTTTAGTTTACAATGTTTTGTCTCTTTTGTTTTAAGTGTCAATCAAACAGTAAACCTTTACTGGAAATGAAAAATGAAACACTTGTTTTAAGAAACTAAGCTGGCAAGAGTAGGGAAAGGCATTCAGGTATACCTAAAAAAATATTTTCGGAAGTTAAATGTATTTGGCAGGAGTTAAAGTACAATAATGGAAAATAATCTATAATAATTGAATTGGTTAGCTGAACTGTAAACTGGACATCTTTTTCTGTATTTGAATTTGTCGATTCCACTCTATTCCTGGGAAAGACTTCCACTCTTCCTAACCTCGGCGCATCCGCCCAGGGAAAATTATTCATGCCTGGGATTCCAACGCTGCACCTGAGCTGCAATGCTGCGGAATGTAATGGGCACTGACACTGACTGGTTTAATGAGTGCATGTACACCCAGGGCCAAATGCAATTACATGCTCCCACAAGCAAACATCAATAAAAAAAGAGAGAGAAAGAGCGACGAAAGAGTGAGAAAGACAGCCAGAGACAGCTGTGAAAAGCCATTAATACCCGCAACTGTATTTAGCGGACCTACTGAGCAGAAGAGAATAAATGTTTCACATTGAACACTATATTTGAGTATTCTGGGTTTCGATGCACTTCTATCAGTCCGTGAACCTCAGTTTCTGGGATGGCGACCCCGAGCAGGAAAAACGGTGGGTGCAATAATGAAATGCCTCCAATATGTCAAAATATGAGCTGTCAGTATGATGAAGTGCACTAATACACCATTACAAACGACAAGCTCAATAACAAAGCTGCTAAATTAGTACCTCTGTTACAGTGTCAATCAAAATTGAGCCTCATCAACGTTTCAAAGGCAGAATTGCTGTTGGACTCGATCCTTTTGTGTATCTAAAGTTTTAGCTGATGAGTGTCTAAATTTGGCATGGTCCTCTGTCTGAAAGCATGATCGTAAAGTATAAAATGAGGGATAAGAAGGAACTGATAGTTGCTTGAGAAAAAAAAAAAAAAGCTGTTAACGCTTGGCAAGGCAGCAGCATGCACCCTGCTCGGACAAGTCAACAAAACCTTGCTGGTATGCCGAATATTTTCGGTAGGCATAGATACGAGGCCGCCGAGGAATTTGATCAGGCGACGAGCCAGCCAGCCAGCCAGCCAGCCAGCCAGCCTCCAGCTCATTGTGATTACCCAGCAGTCCCGGCAGCAGCAACAGCAGCACACCCTTAAGCTTCTTTTAACTGACTGGCGCATGCAGAGCCTTCCACCCCACTCCTCACCTGCCCTCACCTGCTCGTCTTGATGGCTGTCACTCATGCATGAGCTCACGCCCATGCATGCAGTGGCCATTCAGTAAAAAAATATGGAGGGGTAAAAAAAAAAGAAGAGTCGGGGATATACAGTGCATTAGGTACGCTCAGACAGATGTTCCAGACCAGGTAAAAAGTTTTTAAAAAGATATTGATTAAGCCACAGGTGTCAAAGTCAAGGCCCGGGGGCCAGATCTGGCCCGCCACATCATTTTATGTGGCCCGCGAAAGCAAATCAAGCATGTCAAGTTCCATGATGCTTGCTAAAGTCTGAACCAAAATTTCAAACTGTCATATGTAATCCAAAATAACAGTCATTATTCTTGACTTCTGATTTTAAAACTAGTTATTCATCTATTTGTTGTGCACTGTGTATGTAATATGTGGAGGGGATTAAACATTTATATGGTTTCCCAAAATTCATAACGGCTCTCCAAAGGAAACCGTAACTACAATGTGGCCTGCGACAAAAATGAGTTGGACACCCCTGGATTAAGCCATAAAATTATTTTCCATTTTAGTTCTGTGATATGAGCTTTTTATTGGAATTTTTATTTTCGTTGAACATTTGCTAAACAGGAAATACAGTATCCCAATGACATTCTAAACCTTTTTCAAGGACGTCCTGGCCAAGAGGCAGCAACAACTGTCAACATAAAATAGCCTACAGCTACATATTGAACACATATTTTTATAAACACATCATGCAAAACAAATGCATGTTGTATAATTTGTCTCAAAATCTCTCCGTTTGGATGACAAGAATTTAAATAAATGTCCAGTCTGGTGTAGCAGAATGCATAAAAAGCCCTTTTACCCAACTCGCGACTGTTCTCTCGCTCTCTCTCGCTCTCCACAATTTTATTTTTGGGCACGTCTAATATCCATTCAGATTTTCCATAGTCTCGCTAATGTTTTCTATCTTTGTGTGGTACTTATTTAGTTTTGCTGAGCGATGACAAGAATTTAAATAAATGTCCAGTCTGGTGTAGCAGAATGCATAAAAAGCCCTTTTACCCAACTTGCGACTGTTCTCTCTCTCTCGCACTCTCCACAATTTTATTTTTGGGCACTTCTAATATCCATTCATATTTTCCATAGTCTCGGTAATGTTTTCTATATTTGTGTGGTACTTATTTCGTTTTGCTGAGCACTTAAATCCGCATACAAAGTACAAGGTGAGGCAGACAATATTTTGCCTCCACACTGGAGCTGCCAGCTTCCTTCAGTGTGGGTATGGCGGCCACTTACCATTTTGAGTTGTCTTGTTAGTAAAAACACAAGATATAATCTTCCTACTTCTACAGCATGTTCGGCCTTGTAATTATGTCATCATTCAAAGGCTTCCCTCGTGAGCGACGAAAAGAGAAAGAAAAAAAAAAGATCAGGTTTGCGGTTCTCTGGGGAGCGGGCCCATTAATTGTCAGGATATAATTACACCGTCTCCACGCCCTGGGCCTGTCTTGTTGAGTCAAAGTAATAAGAGAATGTATGTTTTGCTTATCATCAAATGGAACCAGGCTACAACACTAACATGTTCCCCAGAGGACAACAACTCAAACAGAAAGACAAACAGCGTCATTAATGTTTTCCTACGAGTCCTTTAGCTTCATTTTGTAGCATTTTCTCTAGGCAATGCTCCTTCTGCTTCAATTTTTTTATCCAATTGGATTTCAGCCTCAATGTGTTTCCATGTCTAACGGAGCATTTAGCATGGGTAGTACTGGCCAAAAGTATATTAGCGTTGGGACTGTCTTGTCAACAATCAGATTTCAATTCATCCTCACAGGGTCATTGAGCTCGCACTCAATGATGTCAGCATTTTTTTTTTTGTTGTTCTTATTTGAAACCCTTTCTTGAAACTTTATCACTCAATTTGAAATCTGAATCATGTCTTGAAACATGATTTGGAAATCCTAACGCTGCCTTGAAACCATGTCGTGAACCCCTAACCTTTATTGAAACTTTACTTTTCAAAGTTTTGAAACCCTAACCCAAGCTCAAAACACTACACTACTTCGAAACCCCTAATAGTGCGTGATTTGTTAAGTGTTTTTTTTTACTCCAGAAAAATCCCCCAAATCTGGTTTTGAACAACTGAACGAATATGGTGATTATGATTGATTTGTTCACGTGCATGCAAAGAGTCTCATTATTGATCTCTTGACAAACATGAAAAGTTAGAAAAGGTTGCAAAAAGTAGAAACAGCGGGGAGGGGGGGTTAAATCATTCCTCCTGGGGGGTTGACTCACCTACTTACGGAGAAGAAAAAAAGAGCGGGGGCGAAAGATGGGAAACAATGACACATCACGGACGGTTTTACAGAACACAACGCGACCATTGAGTAACAATTTCTCATCAAACCACGCCCAATGTATTCTAATTACCGTAAATGTGTGTGTGTGTGTGTGTGTGTGTGTGTGTGTGTGTGTGTGTGTGTGTGTGTGTGTGTGTGTGTGTGTGTGTGAGTGTGCGCGCGCGAGAGATCGTATTTTAGTTTAAAATCTGTTTTGTGGTTTGCTGAAAACGTTCACCAATTGCATGCTGAATATATACAAAATGAAATTCCATGTCTCACGCGAACATTCACGCAAATACGTAATATTTAACTGACGTAATGCAAAAAATGGCAACGAAACGTACGTCCGCGCGCCAAATCAAGACAGACCAAGTCGCGTTGGTGTGACGTCACAGACGTGACAAATATCAAACATAAGGAATGTTTTCAAACGTTTTTATTTTGTTTGTGTTTCTGCCGCTGGTGCTTGTCGGTCAATGGAATCGCCTCATTTCAAATTAAATCTTCGCCACGTTTAGGAAACGACAACTTCAAGGTTTGTCGCTTGAAATTACACATAGGACCCAGGCAATGGAAAACATTGCAGAGGTGGTTGGCGACATCAAATGATAATACATTTTTCTTTAAAATATTTGAAATGTCATGAAGGGAACTTTGCTGTTTGACGCGTGAGGTCGCAAAACTGGAAAGCTGACTTCGGGTTCTTTCGGCTTTTTCCGACTTTTCCCGACTCGTGTTCACGTCTTTCCTCTTCGATATAGTGAGGAGGCGTTGAAGTTTAGTTTGCCGCCAAGTAAATGTGCTTTTTTTCTCGACGAAAGGGTTTTAGTATGGCATCTTATCACGTTAAAATGCATCGCCGTTTTTTTTTTTTTAGAAAAAAAATACAATACCTTGAACCATTCAATTTTTCATTTATCTTCAAACAGCTAAATGACATAAAATTCTTTTAGTTTGTATTCTACTTCTTCTCTTTCTATTTTTTTTACCTACTAGTCCTGTTTCTTGTTCTACTATGTCTACTTTTGTTTATACTTCTCGTTTTATTTTTAGTTCTGCTGAGACCTCTTTCAATTCTACTTCAGTTTTGGTTCTACTTCTGTTGTCAGCTTTTTCTGTTTTTCTTCTTCTAATTCTATTTCTTGTTCGAAATCTACTTCTATTTTTTTTGTTCTACCTTTTCTGGTTTTACTTCCGTTTATGATCGTATTGTCATTGTGTTTGTATTTACTGCAGGCCAAGTGATGGCAGAGAACGTGAACTCGGAGTCGCTGTTAGGCGCGTTTAGTCGTTTCGCGGTCCATGGAGACACCATGGCCAGCGGAAAGGAAATGAACGGGAAGAACTGGGCCAAACTCTGCAAGGATTGCAAGATCATGGATGGCAAGAACGTCAACGGAACTGACGTTGACATCGTCTTCTCCAAAGTCAAGTGAGAATGTCTGCATCGCACCTTCCCCAAGCAGTAGTTCGGGGAGTGAAGTCAGGGTCTGTTATTCTGCTTGTGAGCATTATAGCGCGAGTTGTGGCCAACAGCAGCTTCTTGCAGTTGTTGAATTTGTTGAGTTTGACTGTCCCGTTTAATAAAACGTCTGAAAATGCATTCGCCAAAGTGGCGTTTGCCATTTATTGAATGGGACTGTTAAAACCAACGCAAAATGGAAACTCTCACAAGGAGCATGATTGAGATGCCAACACTGAACTAACTGCATGCTAAAGAACCAATGCAACCGATTCCAGGGTCTTGATGTCACTCACTTCGTTCAAGGTTGGGGAAAAACTGGTGGTAAAGGGCACTCCAGGCCTCCATCAAGTCATTGAGTCTTCAAGTGCGTTTGTGTATTTGTGTTCGTGTAGGCAGAAGTCATCCCGCGTGATCACCTTCAATGAGTTCTTGCAAGCACTGCAGGAGTTAGCGCCAAAGAGGTTCAAGGGCAAAAGCCATGAGGAGGCCATCACGGCCATGTACCAGCTGGTAGAGGCCGGAGAGCCCAGGAAATTTGGAGTCACGGTCAGGAAAACACAAAATACGACAACACAAGAACAAGAATCTTGTCTTGAGTTTTTACTGGAAAAATTACATGATTTTCTTCAGCGAAAAAAAAAAAGAAAATAGACAAAAAATTGGATTGGGAAAACAAAATCGTGAGGGTTAGCATTAGCATCGACGTTTGGGTTAGAATTAGCGTTAGTATTCTGTTTAAGGTGTAAAATTGTAACTACAGTCATGCCACTGTGAAGTGTGAGTGTATTGTCAATTTTTTTTTTTTTTTTTTTGGTGTTACTCAGAAGGCTGTAAAAGCTGGGGGCGTCGAACGTCTGACGGACACGTCATTGTACACGGGGTCACACAAGGAACGCTTTGACGAGAGCGGACGAGGTCGAGGACGCGAGGGCCGAGAGGACATTGTCAACGACTCAGGATACGTTAGCTCCTACAAAAATGAAGGGACGTACGATGCTAAAATGAGGGATGAAAAATGAATCCACTGCGTACACACAATCAGGAAGTATAAGCAGCCTTCAAGTTTGACCCCCACATGTTCAATGGGTGCTACTTCCTGCCAAGTGAAAGAAAATAAAAATCATAATTTAATTAAATACTGTACTTCCTGTTGCTACTTGTGTGTGTGTGTGTGTGTGTGTGTGAGTGATGCCGACAGAAAAAAGGTCTGTAACTGCCCATAGATGCCACACGATGGCGGCAAAGCACTTTTTTCCTATTAGACAACGCTATGGCCTGCCAAAATGAAGCTCTTAACTTCAGTTCAACATGTTCTTTGCACCAAGGCGAAGCCAGACGCCAAAGTAATATTTTGAGGCTTTTTTTGTAAACATAGTTGGTTCTCCCTAAAAAAATCCACTGATATCTATATACTGTACTGTTTAGTTTCCCGATTATATCCCAGCTAAATCGGGGTTTTTTTTGGGTGTAAGATATGTATTATCGAAATTCCCCACTACATCAAAGAAGTACATTTTTGACATCACATTTCCGCAGTTGTCAAAGGTCATCATCATTCAGTGTATTTTTTGGAGTTATGAATGTCAAAGAATGAATTGAGCTTGTATCTCAAAGCACTACTAGTACTGATCATATACTGTATTCAAACAAGGGTCTTATAAAATAATAAAAAAATGAATTGCAACTAAAAGACGCTTAAAGGCAGTATTTCTTGTAAATCATTTTATTCCACAATATAATTTTTGCTCCTCTGGGTACAAACATTCGATACAAGCTACGTATTTCAAAAAATATATTTTAAATATGAGACCCAAAAAAATATATTGATATAAACAATATATGGAAAGCATTAACAGATGGATTAGTGCTAAGCGTGATAGGGGAATTTTTTTGCTCCTGTCTCTTTAAGGCACGATGGTAGATGATGATACATTTTTTTAAGTGAGTAACATACACACCTACACACACACACACACACATCCTCCATATGTGCTGCATTAAAGAGCCACGACGATGTAATGTGTGAAGCAACACTGGGGCTGAGTGACCCACCGGCCGGCCTGTTGGCTAGCCTGTGTCCACATTTCCTGTTATTGGCGTTGGAAGTGCATCGGTGCAAAGTATAAACAGCTCGGCCACATTAACGACACCCTTTGAGGCAGCTTTTTTTCACACGCACACACACACACACACACACACACACACGCGCACGCACGCACTCCTAGCTATGTACATGACTTAATGCGTCTGAACCAAGCGACTCATTGGCAAGATACCCTCCCTGAAGCTTTCTGGGAAATTGTTACTCATGAGCACAACGGCACACCAACTTCTTGATTGTGATGAGGATGATGACGACGACGGTGGTGAAAAATGTCATTTAAAAACGTTGTAATATAATTGTGCCTCGGCTGGGTTTACATTATTTAATGTATCTATAGATGTTTCATGAATGTGTAGCTTTTTGATGAAATATGTTATAATATGATTTAAAAAAAAACCTGTGTATGCAAACTCAAATTAAAGCTAGATCTGATCCTGTTTGCGCATTTAAGCAAAATAAAACATTGCAAAATCCCACCGGCGTTTATGACTGCCAACACAATTGCATATTCATACATATTCATTCATGCATTGTTCAAACAGGCTCAATACATACTGTCGGATATCAAACCTGTTTGAATCTGGATTCAAACCAGATAATGTCATTTAACATGGTCAGGTGTTTATAGGTGTGTCACCTTATATCCAATTTGGACGAAATTGTCTATGTTCATACAGGCATTCAACACAATGTCAAATCTATCTCAGTCTGGATCCGATCCAGATAAGTCCTTTTAAGTATTTTAAAACTCTTTTTTTGTGGCAACTTAGAAGCACTTCTCTTGGTTGAGGTGTACACCTTATAGGACACACTAACGGAGTAAAACGTTCTGAAATGTTTTGTCTTGATCTCTTTTTTTTTTTTTTAAATCACAAAACCTGGCGGTTCAACAGGGGTGTGTAGACTTCTCCTATCCAGATATGAATGCTCAAATGGCTTGCCACAGTGCTGCGAAATTACAAAGTCATCACTGCGCGTCCACTCGGCTTCTTCATCGTCGTGCGGTGGCGACAGATTGCGAGCTCTCCTATTTTATGACCAATAACGTAAGGTATGGGAAATGTACAGTATGCTAGGCGGAGACAGACTTTGGCTGCGTTACGGCGGCAGGCGCTCAGAAGGCGTACGCCCCCACGATGACGGTGAGCCTCAGCAGGGAGCTGGAGTGGTAGTTCATGGTCAGGTGGTGCGTGATCATCTCCAGGTCCACCACGTACTCCCTGGGGCCCGACAGGGGCTTGGTGAGCACCAGCATGGCGCTGGCGTTGCTAGAACGCTGCGGGGGGAAGAAGGAAGGTAGTTCACTCACTTGGCCACGCCCATTAAAGGCACACATACACCAGTTGGGGCCAATTGATTCAAGTAGTGGACCGGTCCATTTTTTTTTTTACCCCAATTTTTGACCCAACTGTTCTTCAAGTGCATGATTTATACAATACAGTACTATTTTTTCAATTAAAACCATATCCCACCCCCCCAAAAAAGTTTTTTGAGGGGGAGGGGCTGGAATATCATTTTAATTCATTTCAATGGGGAAAATTGATTCATTGATTTTTAATTGAGTTCGGAACAACACATTGTTTTGTACAAATCTCAGCAAACCGTACGACTTACCCGGAGGAAAAAGTCACCCGCCTCATTACCGGCTTTGATCCGGAAGGTGTTGTGTGTGTTGGCGTAGATGTTGGTGGCTTGAATCTGGAAGATGTCAGCGGGCACGGGCCGATCGGCCTGGATGCTCATGTACTTGTAGACGATGGATGGCGGCAGGCCCTGGCACTTGGCCTGAGAGCGGCAGATGCAGCGGCTGCGCAAAGGCAAAGCAATTGTCCGACATTTAGTGACTGAGCGACAACGCCGGCGCAGAACGAGTGTGTGGCATTGACATACTTTTCCGAGGATTGGGTGTAAGGTGCCTCGCAGGGGTTTCTGGGATAGCAGCGGAAGCCGCCGTAGTAGTTCCAGCACATTTCATCGTCTTGGCAGTTGTGTGTGCCCGTCTCACACTCGTTCACGTCTGGTCATGACACCACAAAGAAACGACTTTGTGTGAAAATAATGGAACACATTAAAAATTGTCCCGAGGTGTGTGTGTGAGCCAGAACCAGTTCAGGGTCTACCCCGCCTAATGCCCGAAGACAGCTGAGATAGGATCCTGCATGCCCGCGACCTTCATGAGGATAAGCGGATTACAAAGTGGATTGATGGAGAGTATTTGTTCTGTTAAATTATTTTTTTTATTCCTAACAGTCTTTTATCTTCATTTCGATCTCATCAGTGGTTATCCGGCGATTAAGATGTTCACTTGGCGAGTTAGCTGTGCCTGCAGCTCGAAAATGCATCTTCCGGAATCAGAATTTCAGAATCCCTTTGGATATTCTGCTGGTGTGGTGACTTTCGAGTGCCTTATTGCCTGCCATGAGTGCGCACGTCATGCAGAGAAAGGTAGAAGAGCAAGGAGGAAGTAAAAAAAAGTTTGACTTGGTAGTCAGCGTGTGGACAGGGATTTTGTTCTTGCATGGCCGCTTTAGAGCGCCTCATTGTCATGGCCCAAAATAAAAATCCTGGCAAGGTTTTAAGCAGACATGTTTTCGCAGTTCAAAAATGTAGTCATGTGTAGGCAGAAGAAAGATGCTAGATGAAGTAGCATAAGTTTTCCTATGTCATAGCAGCATTTTCTGATCGACAGTTGTCATGTTAATCATGTTATTGATCATGTACTGCTCCAGATGATGTACGTGGCACAGTTGCTAGCTGAGTGGAGCTACTACGAACACACCAGAAGGTACCAAAATATGCAGCCTGCCATTCAGTAGTAGTTCTGGGGGGAATCCTGTACGGCTGACGCCAGTTACGCTAAGGGGCGTTAGGAGCAAGGCCGGGAAAAAAAATTAGCCCGGTCACAGGTAGCCCAAACCACAGATCTATTTGTGGAACAGCAACGTGAATTCATCTCCTTCCTCGCACAAACGGCACGATTCATGGACAGCCCTTGAGAGGCCTGCACCTGACTGAGGCAGTGGGGGCAAAAACATAACATCAAATAAATCCACTTCAAAAAAAACCAACACTGTGTGTGTGTGTTTGTGTGTGTGTGCGTGTGTGTGAATTCAGTGAGGTGGCTTAGAGGGGAGACACTGTGTTGATGTGTTGGTGGCTTGTTGTGCTGTTTCAGAGGGGAGGCCTCGTTCTAATCATGAGCCGCGCAAAATAATTGGTTCATTGATTGACATGGATTCTCTTGATTTTTCTGATCGGGTTAAAATGTGACTTACATTATTGCCTGTACTGTTAAAAATGTTAATGATAGAGGTAATAACAATGACAGCTCTGATCATGGTGACAAATCATATCCGCCTGAACACAGAAGAGGATAATCTCTCAGTTTTTACTGTGATCCTTACATGTAATCCTAAAACAGAAGTTCGTACACTCATTGGGAATCTCTTGTACAACACTAAACTAGTTCAAGTTCTGGATCGAGGACAATATAAACCTCATTGAAATTTGTACCAGTGTCTCAGATTAAATGGCTATGACCAGTGGTGTTTCCCAGGGGTCAATCCTGGGACCCCTATTGTTCAATCTGAACATGCTTCCATTAGGTCAGCTAATACCTAGCTAAAAAGATGACACTGAAATCTACATGTCAACTTGGATAGACTCCAGTTAGTGAGGATAAGCGGTATGGAAAATGGATGGATGAATGGATGGATGAATGGACTATAGCTTTAAGTAAAACTGGTCAGCGGCGCAAAAAATGGTTTAGGGAGTACTGGAGAAGACTGACTGATGGACGACGTTGCAATACCTTGACACAACCTGTTGCCCTGCAGCTGGTATCCTTCTGGGCACTCACACGAGAAACTTCCCGGACTGTTGATGCATTGGTACTGACACATGTAGCTGAAGAAGTTGCATTCGTCAATGTCTGCACAGAAAACATACAACATACATAATGACGTCATGATACACAAAAATTTATGGATAGTGAGCTTTCGTGTGTTTTTTTTGTTTGTTTGATTCCTTGTTTTTTAATGAACAAGAATTGCATTACTAACTTTCCGGATGAACTTAATTGTGAATTTTGCCATTCAGCTCCTTGTAGGAGAGCAGCAAGCCATGCAAAAAGCAGTGAAACACTGAACAGTTAGAGAAGGTCAAATTTTATGTTCATTCAGAAATTTCACCCAGAAAACCCAATGTTTCCAAACCTTTGGGAAAAGCTAGTGGCAGTGCATGTATGTGATGCATGGTGTTTACCTTGGCAGGAGACCAAATCCGGGGCCAGCTCGTGGCCTTGGTTGCACTGGCACATGTAGGAGCCAATCAGATTGTAGCAGTGGTGCTGACATGGATTCTGCGTGTCGCATTCGTTGACATCTGACAACGTGAGACAACGCAACTGGTTAGGATGCGCATTCTGCATTAATGAGTTACATTAATACACAGGTAGACAAATGCTGGGCTGGCAGTCTGTCAGCAGGAGGACCTAACACAGTTTCCCATAAAAGCAAGGGCTGTGTTGTACTGCACAAACAACACCATTGAAAAGTTTGAGGTCAATAATTCATTCTGACTTTTAATTTCACACACACTTTCTATTACCTATACCATACTCAATTTATCCCATTCATACAAACACTCTGTTGGAATGCGAGATGTCCGAACTTGTCCACTGTCCAGCCTGTTGTTGTTTTTTTCTCTCTTCCTCAGAATTGAGGTGACAAGCCGAGTTTCACTGCCTTATTCTTTATCTTCAACCCAAAAGCTGTGACGATCTGAAATCCAAAGTGATGCAACGCTGCCATCTAAAGGCACCCGCTTGTCATTACAGTGATGTCAAAGCTTGACTTTCACAGACAAGCCGAGCGAGATCCTCCCCTCCACGCCGAGCTGGTTAAAAATGTACTTGACAAAGATATTCATACGAGATGACGCATATAAATGTCCATGGCAGTGAATGAAATAATAACTTTTTGTTCATGAAGAATCTGTTGAATGTATACTTAGAATTATGGCAGCGGTGTCCCTAATAATTTGGCCTGCTTATTCCACCATGCCGTGCCGTGATTTAGTCAAGATGTGTGTGGTCTTATTTCCTGGTCCTCGCAAGCATTCTAACATACGCGATGACGATGACAACTAACGACTCCTGCGGTTCACTTGGCCTCCGTATTATTGAACCTGGCAGAAGATAAATAACGATGTCACCGTCAACGAAGCATACCGTGCTGCTTTTTTACTACTTCCAAACACACACACACACACACACGCACACGCACACGCACACGCACACACACACACACACGCACACACACACACACACACACACACACACACACACACACACACACACACACACATGCATACTCGTCCTCTGCGTGACTTACCAATACAGCTGTGGTTGTTGGTGGCCAACTGGTGACCTGCATTGCACTCGCAGTAGTACGAGCCCTGAGTGTTCACACACGTGTGCATGCAGTAGTTGGACTGCGCACACTCGTCTCTGTCTGCAGAGAGACACGCGCACACACACGCACCATGTGAACGGTTCCTTTGAGGGTCGTTCGATTTACAGTCCATCTGCCTGAAAGTCATGTCCGAGGCAATTCTTCAACGTGGTGAAAACGGTAATGCAGTAGTAATCGTAACTACCTCTGTAACTTCCTCAAAAAGAAAATATGGATGTATGTCATGGCTTTTAACCCTTTGGGGGATAGCGGCTACTACAGTGGACAGTGGAAAGTCATTTTCCGTTACGCAACTAGTATGCGAGGATGTATGTGTCACAGTTATGATGTTTTAGTAAATGAGAAAGACTGACCTACACATTGGTCTCTGTTCCTCTGATAGCCCGCAGGACACTGGCAATTGAACGAGCCCCTCATGTTGAAGCAAGTCTGCTCGGGCCCGCAAGTGTGCCGGCCTGTTGCGCACTCGTCTATGTCTGCGCTCCACACACACACACACGCACGCACGCACAAACACACGTGTCCTCAAACATATGGCAAACAAAGCCTAGCAATGCTACGCAAGATGAGGTTTTGCATCATGAAAACACTGTCGGGGCGAGGGGGTTGTCACTGGTTTGGTCATACACTACACGCATTGATAAAAAAAAAAAAAAAAAAAAAACAAACCAGGGGAACAACAAACACACCGCT